AAGTAAAAACAAGAAACTTACCACAGATGACAAGGCTATGTGCTTATTAGCATTACCAGAAGCAACTTTTTCAGCTAAAAGCTTCACTAGATGCTGCAATGTTTATGGGTGGCTCTCCCACAGCTGCTGACCCATGCCGTTTCACTCTAGCACATTCAGAAATACATGTTATAAAATGAGTTGCTTCATTCTAAGCATCCATGCCACATTAAGCTATGCAAACAAAGCCTCTTCAATGGTGCATCTAGATGGGGTTGTCTCACATTTTCCCTTCCTTGATCATTCCCTTTATTTTCAAAGCACCACTGACACTATGTGGGTGCTTAGTATGATAACTTATGATAACGGTGCCAGTTGGTAATGAAGCATGCATGCTGGAAAGCAAGCTACAAAAATTAATATTATTAACAAAGCCTCGAAACATTCTTACCTACTGCTGAAACTTTTCAGGCTTTCTTAGTGGCGTCCCACCATCGCTTTTCCTCAAGCAAGCAGGAAAAATCGTTTGTAGGTAGGCAGGCTATCAACGAGAGAAGCTATCGTGCTTCTCTCATTGTTGACAAAGTGGGCACTGCATATACAGGTTTGATCCTTCATAGGCAGCCAATAGCGTTCGTAGTGGGTATAAGAAAGCAAAGATCATGACTGCGATGAGAAAATTTTCAATATTCGCAAGAAAATTAAAGCAATTTAAGAGTATTTTTCGTCGCCCTGCCAGATCTAGCGCTCCCTTCATTCCTTCTCTTGAGAATCCATATTATTTCGGGGTCTTTAAGGCGGTGTTTCAGCTGTAAATGCATCAGTACACAGTTCCACTTTCTTTTGGCCGCAATTTTGCGCCGTTCTTTCGCACGTAAGCGACCGGCTTGTTACGCTTCTTGTCACAGGTGGCGCCACTTTTTCAGCTCGCGGGTGGACACCATCGCATAGGCTGGAGAGCGCGAGTCCTCTCGCATCTACTCCAAAGGTGCTCACGGGGATTTTTCGACTCGCTCTGATGATTTCGTGCTGAACGGTAGTGACAGCAGCGATCTCCTGGCACCAGCGTAGCACTCGCTGATCACCCGCCGTCCTCCTGACTGGTGCCGAGTAGCTCTCGCTGATCGGTGCCCCATCCTCGGACTCCTTCGACCATGTCCCCTATCTTTCTTATCTCTTCTTTCTGTCGCTCCTGTGCAGCGAGTGCTCACTCTTCCTCATCTTTCTACTATTCTTTTTTTTTTATCTTCATCTGTCATCCCCTACAAGGAGCTTAGCCGTGTCGCCAGATTAGACAGACGGAAATTTGTTCTTTCTTGCTTTCCTACAAGAATTACACAGACGAATATTACCTTTCGCAGATGTGGATTATGTGCAGGTTATCGCCGTTCATATGAAACACATCACCGTCGACGATCAGAACAAGATTCACATAATCACTTGAAGATACGGGAAACGAATAACAATTGGTTATCTTCCTCGTAGCGTTACTGTTATAATGACACAGAAAACACGTCCTTAAGCGCTCGACATTTATAAAACGAAAGCGGCTGTCAAATTTTTTGTTTCTGCTACTGCCAATCGCGATGGAGCTTTCCGTAAGTGTCAGAAAACAATAATAAAAAAAATACCTGGTCGCTCAAGTTCCTGAAGCCGCTTTCCAGTGCGCATATAAAAATAAAGTGTTATAAACAATGCTAAAACTATGTAAGAACGTTGAATCTAGCGCATATGACACAAATAGAATCTAAGTCGTCAAACTTGAAAAGCGCGGGTGTTTAAAAAACAGAAAAAAAAACACCTAGCAAGTTTTCGCGCTGTGAAAACCATCGGACTCCTTTATGAGGCATGGAATTGAATGGAACACAAAACTACTTAGTGTGGTCCTGCAGAACGCGACTGGGTAGCACACCTGGCTCTGTCCCACGTGGGGACCGGCAAGCCGAGCCTGCTGTGCACCTCGCGGGCCCGCTGGACAGCCGTGATTACGATTATTGGGAGCGGGGCTGCTGTAACAGCGTATCCTACTCCTACAAGGCGAAGGTCACTATATTTCGAGTCCATGGCTTGGCACGCGCTGAGGAAGATGCCCTAATGTGGCTGTCTCACCACATGCCGAGCGCAGGCCGTTCGGGAAGACCTCCGGGTTTGCATATCTTCCTACTGCTTTAGGCAAAATGTTCACTCAATGTTTTATATGTAATACCCCCTAGCTGGCTAGTGACAGCATCTCTTTGCGCGTGTTCGGCGTCTCGGGTGCACCTCGGCCACTCAATCGAACACTGCTATCGTTTGGACGAGAGTGGTCCTCCAGTCACTCCATTCTCGTATTCAATTGCTTCTTTTAAGTTCATGCGCAAGCGTGGGTGTACAGCTCAGTGGTTATACAACTCGTATTCGGACCGAGAAGGCCCGGCTTCTAACCCCATCTCGCCAAGAAAACTTGCTTTATTCATTATTTATTCACTTTACCCTCTTTATTCAAGACTTCCTCTCCGCGATTTATCACGTGATGTTTTTGCAGTGGTTTTAACAAGTGCCACAGGATAGGCAGCGTCGCTTTAAAAGTAAGCAAACATACCTCGGCGAAAAGGACAGAATAACAAAGACACAAGTCGTTCGTTACTGAGCTATATACTGCTAAATAAGTAACTTACATTGCTTGAAGTACCAGTGTTGTATTCGTTTCATGTACAACAGGGAAATCATAAGGGCAGTCACACATGCACCCGTACGCTCCTTGAAACTCCAAAAGTGCCATTTCATTCATGACGATGGTGCTCTTGTTTGCTTTGGCCTGTCTTCGCAAATCCTCAAGCTACTGACTGAACTCACTAAGACAGACACTGGGTTTGAAGAAACGCCCCATGTTTGGGCATTTGGAGAGCTAAAATGACGCAGCCACCGCAGGTATAAATTCCTGCGGCAAAGACATAAATAGCGATATGTACACCAACACAATCAAGTGTCCGTGTACAGTCAGTGCAATGTTTGTCAAAAATTAGAACGGTTATGCACCAGTGGTGCAAAGACTGTGGAAACAATGGAGCTGATCGCCTTCTCCTCCACTTTTCTCACCTTCTGCTTTATAAGTCTATGCTATGATTTACCCTCTCCCCTTCATCACTTCCCTTTCCTACCTTCTGCTATACTATACATCATATGACTATGCTATACATGGTTTTGCCGTAGTGACGCTGTACATGGCTGTGTTATAACCTATTTTTTCCATTCTCTCCCTAAGTACCCTAACCCTTTCCCACCCCCTTGTACTATATTACTCATAGTTTTGCCTGTGTGATGATATATGTGACTATGCTTTGGCCTCTTTTCTCTTCTTCATTCCTTTCCGTTCAACCTCTCATCCCTTTCTTACCTCTTGCCTTGTTATATACTACACATGGCCATGCCTGCATGATGGCATACATGGCTATGCTGTGCTATAGCCTCTTTCCTCCTCTTAAGCTCGCTTCCCTTTCACCTCTTTTGTTAAACTAAATCGACTTGTCTTGCATGTGTGATGCCTTACAATAGCATATGTTATGCTTAATCCTTTTCCCTCGTTTTCTTTCTCTTCACTTTCACTTCCCTTTCCGGCCCCCTTGCCATTCTATACATGGCTATGATATAGTTTTGCCTGCGTGACACCAGACGAAAACGCAAGACAACAGCTCAGGCCCCTAAAGTGCTGTGCATATAAAAATTGGTCCAAAACTGGTCCTAAACTGGTCCTGCTTATTTTTTTTTTTTTTTTTTTTGGTTTGTTGTCGGCTTAGGTGATGAAGCGGGCAGATTCCCGGTGTTGCTATCCCCTTCAATGCCAAGTGTGAACACGTCTTGCATGTGTGATGCCTTACAATAGCATATGTTATGCTTAATCCTTTTCCCTCATTTTCTTTCTCTTCACTTTCACTTCCCTTTCCGGCCCCCTTGCCATTCTATACATGGCTATGATATAGTTTTGCCTGCGTGACACCAGACGAAAACGCAAGACAACAGCTCAGGCACCTAAAGTGCTGTGCATATAAAAATTGGTCCAAAACTGGTCCTAAACTGGTCCTGCTTATTTTTTTTTTTTTTGGTTTGTCGTCGGCTTAGGTGATGAAGCGGGCAGATTCCCGGTGTTGCTATCCCCTTCAATGCCAAGTGTGAACACATCCTGCACTTTTTATATCTCCTCGATGGAAGATATCTCTAAAGCACGAATCAGGGTGCCACTTATACCCCACATAAAGCAAAGTCACAGATTTCAGTAGCCCAAAATATAAATATAGCCATACCGCTGATTGTTTGGCTACAATTTGGCCAAACTTTTTCTTTTTTGTAACCCAGCTTGGTTGTATATGTGCAAACCTGGTAACATTATGCTCTGTGGCCTGTACATAAAGTCATCTGCACAGGATTTTTAAAACATGCAGCATTTGAAATTAGAGATAAATTATGCACATGCCCTATTTCTGCAAGTTACCTAACAGTAAAATTAGGCACATGCTTTCTCCCAAGAACATTTTCTTTCCTTTTAAGATGACTGGACAATTTTTTAAAGCTGTCGTTAAATTAAATTACTCAACAGTGCAGAGCCTGCGGACTACATCTTCATCTGTGTAATTCACTGGCCTTTAGCAAACAATGCCTATGCTACCAACATGCACATAATGTGATTCACATAGGGAACGGGTCGCATGTAACTCTCATGTGACTCTTTTTATTTGAATGCACCATATGTGAACTAAACGTTTACTTTTGAAAACGCCAATAATGTATCTATCTCTTTCTGGCATTCCGCTAATGCTTTAATTATTGGATGGCATTTGCCTGCCAGCACAACAGCACCTGAGAAAGTTATCTTGCTGAGAAAGTCGAGTTATAACGTCATGCATTCATCAGATGTGCGGCCACCATAGGCATCTGACACAAATCCCCCCCCCCCCCCCCCCATGTGGCAAAATTTCTAGCAAGAACTTGTAAGCTCAGGGCCAGCCAGTGGTCAGCCAGAGTCCTTGGAGAGGTCAACGAGGCAGTGACAACAAAAAAATCTTTACTCGTCACAAGCCGCGGCCAGACTGATCGGTCTCCAGTGGCAGGGCGAGCGCAAGCACTGAAGGTTAGCGTGCCGAGACCGCTCAATATTCTCATTTTGCTTTGCCTGGGCAGCGCCCCCATACTGCACCCTACCTCTCCAGTAGGGAGGGTTGTGGCTCATTTCTCACTGAGGTCAAGGAGCGCTGCTTTCTTGTGGAGCTGCTGCGGGCATACAGCGTGTAAATGGGTACGTGCCGTAAGAAGAGATTTGCAGACCCTCTGCAGAGCGCCATTTTGTTGTTAGCGGGGGTAGAGCTCTGAGCCTCCCCCGCCCCCAGAGGGGACACAGCATGCATGCGTCCTATGGCATGTGTGAGACCTGAGGCTCAAATGAGTGCTGGTCTGGGATAAGGCGGCCTTGGAATGGCTTTGAGGTTGCAGGTCCTCAATGGTTTATTCAGGTTGTAGATCCCAAGGAAGGAAGGATGCCCATCTAACCGGGAGCCATCTGAGCCTAGCGTAGTCCACACGGGCATTGTGTGGGGACCACTCGGTGAAGTGCCCGTTGATGATGGCTGTCCTAGAGGCGAGCCCGAGCGGCCAACCGAGGTAGTATGCACCAGTGGGGAGCAGGACTGGAAAACGGTTAAGGTCCACTATTCATGTGGATCGCTTCATCTGCACAGCATTGCTTTAAAGTGCTGGCATGCACTGCTACCAGAGATCTAAGCATTTTGCAACTTGAAGGTTGAATGTGCCAGCGAAATGGGTAATCAAACGTTATAGGGTTAAAGCTCTGAAACCGTTTCACTAGTCCTACTAAGTTCAACAGTTGTAGCGCTTTTCAAGAGGTAGGACAGGTTACAAAAATTTGAGAAATTGTACATGGGCCATCCCACTTAGGTGCTGAGCTATGCTGCTAAAGTGAGTGCGGCTTTAAACGAAATAACTGGGCTCGTTCTAAATGTGATAATGATAGGTTTTGCATCAACAAGTTTGCTCAGGCATAGCATTATCCAAGTGCTCATGAGCTAGAATGAGAGCGAAAGAACAGATATTTTCGTAGCAAATCGTGCGTTGTCTATAGGTTGCCATTATCATGAGGGAGGGGGCAGGGGGAGGCTTACATAAGACAAGCCCGACAAATGAACTAGGGAAGTAATGGAAGCTTTTTACGTTTAAAGGAAGGGGTAGGTTGTATGTGCAAGCTGTCAATAGGCCTCAGTGAAAAAGAATTTCTGTGTCCTGGATTTAACCCAGCCGGGTTAAAGAATGTAATTTTAGAACCGTAATGTATGTTCTTGCTTGCACTTAATTTTTTCTTTTACTTTTTGGCTTTGTGATACACAAGTATTATTTTGTCATAATTTGTTATTTTTCATAGTAGACAGAATAATGAACAGCACAATGGGTTATATACAAACAGAAGAAAATACACAGTGCGCACTGATGTTTGTATCTAGCCCGTTGTACTGTCAATTATTCTACGATAAACATCCACCAACTTGTCAAACTGTCGATTTTGCATTAGGTATTTTCTTAAGTCCTGATTACTCTGCCGCACAGATGCTATGGTATGTCATGAGACTAGGTGCGAGCGTGTGCATGTTCTTTCGAATAAATTTTTAGTTGAGAATCAGTGTCTCTGTCGTGTCTTTTTTTTTTCGTCCTTGTCTCTCTTAGTGCCGTTGTTCTTACACAGTGGGCAGAAAGAGAGATGTCTCACATATTCGCTCCATCACAGACAGAGCATCTTCAAAATAGGTACACTGACCCGCCAGACAATTGGGGGCGAAAGTACAAATGTCGGCGAAGTAAACGCATCAGTACTAACACCACAGTTCCCCTCAAGGCATCGGTGCACTCAGTGAGAGTTGTGGATGAGCGATGCGCAGCAGCACTCTTCTGATTTGGTGCTTGTCATCGTCGGTTGGCACTGCCTGTACCGCTGCATCCATGTAGTCTGAATGGCACACTTGCGTACACGCTGAGTGCCCTGACAAACCAGAAAAAAACACTGCAACAGCCACTTCCTTGGTTTTCGTCTGTTTGTGTCACCTGGTAAATTAAACGCATGTTTATTACGTTACAAGTATTGGAGTGTGGCATAAAGTTCTGGAAATAAAAACAAGGAGTGGGAAAGCAGGCCAGTTGAAATGCACGTGCAGACGCAAAGCTGGAATCATGCTGTCACCGTAAAGAGCCATACTCAGCAGGCAAGTACAAACACCATAACGGCTGTATAAACCTGAAAATGTTTAATTACTTAAATTGTGCTCCTGATGTGATGCAAAGAAGAATTAGGCACTTAAGTGGTTAGCACGATGGTTAGAGCAGTAAGAGCGGGGAAAAACAGCAAGGCAGGGAGTCGTTTCGATATTTGATGCCCACATATTTGTGCTAAGTATAAGCTTTTGAAGAAAAAAATGTTTGTTATATGGAACGACATTTACTTGAAGCTGCTTTTATATGCAGTGACCAGAAGCATTATTTTTCAGACAGCCGGTCTAAAAAAATTTAGGTGATATGTTTTGACAAGTCGAAAGGCTTGCAACAGTCGAAAGGCTTGCAACACTCATAATAAGTTTGCTTCGATATGCTCCAACAGCTCCATTGGGGCAAGAGTTGAAAAGGCAATGGTCGACTGCTTGACGTCTGCTTCTCCCGTAACTAGATGCGGTCGAGGCAAATCCTAAAATATGCAATACTTGAGATATTGTTCCAATTTAAGCAATTGAGAATTTGCTTTTTATAAACACCTAGCTTTTTTAAAGTGTTGTTATTGAACTATGCTCGATTTTCTTGTTTATTGTGCTTTCAACAAGCTCGGCTAGGGGTTGCAGATGACAGCGAAATCACGATCTCTCAGGCAGATCGCGATGCACAGATTGCGACAGTCCTGATCCCGATTACGCCTGATTGTGATTAAAAGTGACCGTGTAGCAGCACCTATTCTGCATCGTGGTTAATCCAGTTCGACACTGATCGCAATTATAAGTGCCCGTGTGACACCGGTATTAGTAAGCGAGAAAATGCACTAAAAGAAAATTGGGGTGGTGACACAGCTTAAGATTCCCGCAAAACACTGTGACGTAAAAAATTTCGAAGGCGTCTGCTGGGTCCTGCATAGCTTGTAATCAATAAAAATGAAGTACATTGTAGTACTTGAGTTCCATAGACTTGTGATACGAATTTCTAGAAAATTTCGAGCCAATGCCATGAAAATACCGAAAGTACATTTTGAAATTCCTTCTTGTCACGTGGGGAGGTTCTGGCATGAAATTTTGAAGTGAAACTACAACATTGATTTTCTTGACAAATAATGAACTTATGAGGTGAAACACATGCTCTTAAAGTTCTCAGAGTGCAGCTTGTCTATCTGAACCAAGTCATTGTTTCTTTTTAGTCTTTTTTTTAAACATGTCAAAGTTTTTTTTAGCATGAGTGTTGCAAGTTCAGCTGCAATCTATTGATGACATGTTACAATATATTTTGCACATACATTTATTTACTATGGCAGAAAAGCTTCCCAACAAGACTTTGCCTCGTGGCTGTGTGGTGTTACGAGCTGCATTAATAAGTTGTAAAATAACTGCAGCCAAGGTACTTCCAACTTCCTTGTTAGAACAGACTGGGGAGCTTACCACAGATGCAGAAGCAATGCGCCACTCAGCAATGTTGAAACGCAGCTCTTCCAGTTGCAAAGCTTTACCAGATGTTACAGTGTTGATGGGTGGCCCTCTGCAGCTGCTGGACCATGCTGTTTCAATATAGATTACATGTAACAAAAAGAGTTACTCTGGTGTCAGCAACCCTGGCACCTTTAGCAATGCAAACAAAGTGAGCTTCCCTGCACAGCCCATGCATGGTTTTCTTATTTTATCTCATCATCATCATCATCATCAGCCTGACAACGTCCACTGCAGGACACAGGCCTCTCCCATGTTCCGCCAGTTAACCCGGTCCTGTGTTTGCTGCTGCCAATTTATACCCGCAAGCTGCTTAATCTCATCTCCCCACCTAACCTTCTGTCTCCCCCTAACTCGCTTGCCTTCTCTGGGAATCTAGTTAGTTACCCTTAATGACCAATGGTTATTCTGTCTATGCCCTACATGCCTGGCCCATGTCCATTTTCTCTTCTTGATTTCAACTATGATATCCTTAACCCCCGTTTGTTCCCTAATCCACTCTGCTCTCTTGTCTCTTAAGGTTACACCTACCATTTTTATTTCTATTGCTCGCTGCATCGTCCTCAATTTAAGCTGAACCCTCTTTGTAAGCCTCCAGGTTTCTGCTCCGTAGCTAAGTACCGGCAAGATGCAGCTGTTACATACCTTCCTCTTGAGGGATAGTGGCAATCTACATGTCATAACTGAGAGTGCTTGCCAAATGTGCTCCACCCCATTCTTATTCTTCTAGTTACTTCAATCTCGTGGTTCGGCTCCGCGGTTATTACCTGTCCTAAGTAGACATAGTCTTTTACAACTTGAAGTGCACTATTACCTATCTGAAAGCGCTGCTCTCTTCCGAGGTTGTTGTACATTATTTTCGTTTTCTGCAGATTATTTTTAAGACCGACCTTTTTGCTCTCCTTGTCTAACTCCGTAATCATGAGTTGCAATTCATCCCCTGAGTTACTCAGCAATGCAATGTCATCGGCGAAGCGCAGGTTACTAAGGTACTCTCCATTAACTCTTATCCTTAACTGTTCCCATTCTAGGCTTCTGAAATCTCCTGTAAGCACACGGTAAGTAGCATTGGGAAGATTGTGTCCCCCTGCCTTACACCCTTCTTGATTGGTATTCTGTTGCTTTCTTTATGAAGCACTATGGTAGCAGTTGATCCTCTGTAGATTTCTTCCAGGATGTTTATATATACTTCATTGATGCCCTGATTCCGCAGTGTCTGCATATATTTCTACTGAATCAGATGCCTTGTCGTAATCTATGAAGGCTATGTATAGAGGTTGGTTATATTCTGAGCATTTCTCTATTACCTGATTGATAGTATGAATATGGTCGATTTTATCTAACTGCATCCAAATGTGGCTACTGTGATTAATTTTTCACTTGGCTATTTTCAGAGAACCAGTGATGCTGTGTGAGTGCTTAGCAACTAGATTCATTTCCAGCTGGATTATTGAACTGGAAATTTTCCAGTTAGAAATAATTTTGATTCGATAACTTAGATTGAAGTAGATGTACATCCACAGGAACTCTCTTGGTTAAATGATGGTATTCAGCCATATCCCATCAAGAGGCTCACCCATTTCGAGATTGGTTATAGTAGTGATATTGTTGGATTATCAAGCGAGAAGTTTTTTTCTAGCTGGAAAGTGTGTTTTTTTTTTTTTTTACCTGGGAAGGTATCAGTGGCAATTGGTAATGAAGCAAGCAGGAGGAAAAGGTACCGAAAATTCGAATTAGAAATGAAGCCTCAAACTTTGCCACACACAGCCGAGTCTTTTCATGCTTCCTGGGTGGTGTCACGCTGTCGCATGACAGAAATATTGTCGAAATGTAGGCAGGTTCTTTGGCTACCGTGCTTAACTCCTAGCCGACGAAGTGGGCGCTGCATATACGAGTTTTCCTCTGCACAGGCTGCCAAAGGCCTCCTTGTGGGCTAGAAAAAGCGAAATTTGTGATCACTATAATCAAATTTTAATGATAGCATAAAATAAAAAAATTAATTCGGAGTATTTGTTTTGTTTACTTCACTTGCTGGACAGCGCGGATCCAGCGCTGTCGTCCCTCCTTCTCGTTAAACCTCCATGGAAATGAATAAAATTTAATCTTCGGGACCTTACCGGCGGTGTTTCTAACGGTGTTGCAGTAGCCGTGCCTGCGACAACGTACAGTTTCACTCTTTTATGAGCGCGGTTTCGTGCCATTCTTTCCAGTTGCCATGCTTTGATGCACAAACGACCATTAACGAACAAACTGTCTTCGTTTTTGGAGGTCAACTTCGTAATTGATAAGGACGACTATAAGTACTGCGGGGGTTTACACGCAGGATCTCGTCGTTTCGCTGATTCACTGAGATGCACATGTCAGCTCGATGGCGACGTCATCGTCAAGGAATGCATATAATTATGTGAATATATAGAACACAAATAGCATTGAGTGATGTAGCTCGCTGTAATAACACACGGAACACTTCTTCAAGCGATCATCATTTGTCGAACAACCGAAACTACTGCCGTTCGCACTTCTGCTACTGCCAACCACGATAGGGCTTTCCTAGATGTTTCTTGCGACCCTACATGTCGGGAAGCAAACATAAAAAATAACCGTTTGACTGGGGCCTGTAATCCTCTTGAAGGCGGTTTCCGGTGCGCGTTTGGATGCGGAAAAGAAGCGACGCAGAGACCACGAAGAAAAACACAATTTTCCACTACGGACAAGCATGGTGCGATGCGAAAGCATCGCGAAGGGTGCTCATCGAGTTCCCGTTTCGTTTCACATGGCAACACATCCCAATGAAGAGAGAGAGAGGAGACGTGCCTGAAGCTTTGATCGTGCAAGTCACGCTTGAACCGCGCGTCAGCACCATCGAAACCAGGGCGTTGTGATCGCCTCGAACGTCTTGCTGCTCTGGCCGCAGACTTGCGCTGCCTCGTCGCTTCGGGATCGGGAGCTGCCGCTCGACGCTGCCGTTGACTTTCCGAGCCCGGAGTTCGGGGTCAGCTTGATAACGATGCCGTTCCACTTCGGCGTGTTGAGCCTGTGTTGCTTCCGTAGAAGTTTCCTGTCTACGTTGACGTTTACGTTCGGCTTCTCAGGCCCGAAGTTCAGGGTCCGCTTGCCGACTGCTTACGTTTACGTTCGGCTTCTTGAGCATTCCTCTGCTTCGCGGCAGTGGTGCTGCCGCTGCAGCTAGTGCCTACGTTGATGTTGTTCATGGCGTTTTGCACAACATTGCTCACAGAGAATGACAGAAACGCAGCGAACGCGCGCTGCCCTGCGACACTTGCGCTGCCTACCGGCGTACACTTAGATAGAGAGAGTGTGAGAGAGAGTTATATCAATGATTTGCTGCGCCGCACTTGTGTTGGAGAGGGGGAGGGTGGAGGAAAGCGCTGCACCTTGCGTAGAAGAGAATGAGGGAGAGTTGCGCATGCGTGGTATGGGATCGGACGCCGCAGAACGGAGACTGCTCCAAGCATAAGATGCTCGTGCATCTAAAACACGCGGCAGAATCGTAAACCCTGATATCGAACTTGGACATCCGACCCTAGTTTACTTTTTCTTATAGGGTGTTGTCTTCGTACAGGTGACATTTCAGCAAGTGCAGCAGCGGCGAGACGCAGAAACGAACACGAGAGTGCAGATGTCATGCAAGGTCTATGCTACTCTTCGGCTGTCACGAGGGTTGTGGAGGTTGCGATTCGTAAAAGACAACACCACTTGCGTTGCTTGGCACATGTCTACCGGAAAATGTTCACTATTGTACTTGTTGCACGTCGCTAAAACAGACACGAATGCAATCGGCTGTGTCGTCTGCTCCAGCTGCAGCCATCTTGTGCTGGACTCAGCACTACCTCACGAGCAGGTGCAGGGAACTCGTGAACTAGCCTTGCAAAACAGCTGCACTTTTTCAAAACAAATACTACAGTGCCACTGCCCCTATGTTGAACTCGTGAAACGAATGCCAAAGTGCAGCGCCTCCGTTAACCGGTTCATGAAGTGAAGGTGAAACGAAGGACCTTATGATGTGACCATGTGACGTAGAGAGCGGGTGTTTCGAAAGCAATACACCGCTGTTCGCGCTGTCGGAAATTACTGCCTGCGAAAAGGGCAGATCAGCAAATTCATAAGTTGTCGCTGTGACGTTGCCGCGTGTCCTGCGGGCCGAGCGCAGTCAGCTTCAATATCGCCACTAAACTTTTGCAATCGAAATCTCGAATTATGTGCAGCTTTTGTGATTTATCAAGTAGGAGTAGGCCATACATTTTCACAGACTCCAACTTTCTAGCATAAGCAACTGTGCTCTAGATGATAATTATTGTTAATTAGATACTTATATTAATTATTGGCTTTGACATCGCTGCAGACAACTATGTGCATCCTGACATAGAGTTCATCCACAATAAGGAAGGGAGACTGACTGTCGCTAGGCATTTACAAAAACTTGCAGAGCACGAAGTGCAGTCAATAGGCATGTTCAATAGTCTCTTGAAGCAACTAATACAAGTACACACGAAAGGTATCTACTACACCATAAATCACAAGTTTTATGAAGCAGGGATGCACTCACTGTGCCATAATTCGTCTTTCGTGCAGATAAGCGAGGTAACCACCACGCATCTGTTAGGCATTATATGCTCTTTGTTGATGTTGCATGTGGCCTGATGACTGTGAATTATGAATGAGCACTTTGTAGTAGGTGGGAAGCTTTAAACTACACACGTTGCACCATGAGTGTCATATAATGCTTGTTTGTAATTTTACTCTTTTGCCACACAACATTAAATAGGATAATTGTTTCCTTGCCCAACATGGCACCTGGATTCAGTCCTTTTTTTTTTGCCAAAGAGTTTTAAGCACTGGTATTGTTCTTTTGTAGAATAGAATACTGGAATTCCACACAGAGTGCCGGATATGAAGTCTAACTAAAACACTTTTTTTTCTCAATGTGCATGATAGTCATTACGGACACTGGACATGGCAACTAAGCCACCATGATCGGCTGTTGCAATCACACGACAGCTTTCACTGTAAGAAGCACGCTATGTATGTTACGTAATTTTTCCTCTGCTAGTCATGCTGATGTATTTTTCATGATTTCAGTTGCAAATATTACTGCGAAGTGTTTTACTTACAATCTCATTTTCTCTTCCTTTAGCTGTATCTATTTGCCAATAATTTTCTTGGCATAAATATTCACAAGTCTTTATTGGCGGTCATTGAGTTACCTTAGCTCTATAAATTCAATTCAGTTCAAAAGAAAGAAGAGGCCGCAGGATAAGAATGAAAGAATGTTGGCACAGTGTCAATGCAAAAAGTAAAAACTTCATAGTCTGGCAAGCAGACCATATCCACCATCTTCGTTATGGCGCGATTTCGAGCATAACCCAACAGCCATTTAACAGTGTAAAAGCTGCTTTATTTGCCCATGTTTATTACACAAAGAGGGCGGTGGTAATGAACCCATACATACAAATAAAAATGTCAAGTTGCATATTGTGACACTGAACACATTAAGGCTTAAAGCAGAAGAGATGTACCGAAAACCGTAATAACAGATGAGCGCACTTGATGATATGTGCTTGTGGAAAGAACAGCATAAGACAAAAGCCGAACCATCTGCTGGAAGCTTTACGAGGAAACAAAGTGAGCACCGCTCACTAAAAACATGTTTTTACAAAATGCATACACCTTGATAAATATGCAAGACATAATTTCTAAGTCAGAACACAGTACCTATGCACACCTACTAGCAATCCACTGTTACTACTGCTAGTAAATGCAGGATTCAGTTATTCATGAAAACATACACACCAAGATGTCATTGGGCAAAAAGAGGAACTGCTTTTTATGGGAACACTTGCACATACAAGGTTGACTAACCTTACTATTTGTCCTCTTCGTATGTAAGAGGTGCAGTAAGAGTGCATACCTTCGTGAATTTAAGCTGCTGTGAAGCTGGCGTAGATATGGCCCATTTATAAAATTTTTACCAAAGCACGAACAGCATTTCGTCGTCCTGAAAATTTTTGCATTCTGCATGATAAGTGCAACTAATTCAAAGTGAGCTTGCGATACAACTTGTACTCCTTTTTCAGTCTGTTCACCGAGCATGATTTATCACGTGCTAGCCTGTTTCACTCAGTCAAACTGCTCAATGCAATGTGTGCCAATCAATGAACAAGTTTGAAAGAATAGAAACATCTGCGATGCAATAGCAGTGCTACCATTTCACAGCAAACAAACCCAGATGCAAGGAAGCCCTGAGAATTTGGACAACTCAGAAAGGGCAACCGCACTCAAATGTTAGAAGTACAAGAAATCATGATCGACTGACTCATAAAAGTTCAGCAACCTCAAAAATGTGAATCCATGAGATTCTATGCGCTAAAGACCACGACAGTTTGGGAGATCCATATTAATTTTGAACAAATGGGGTTTCAGTGTGTGTACTTCGGGTGTCCACAAGTTCAAGTATGTGGGGGGGTTCCTGCACTTCAACCTTAACAAAATGCACTTGCATGCATGGTGGCACAAAACATTCGCCACTAAGACACCATAGAAGATAAAATCTGGAGGCTGCTGCAGGACTACTAGGGACACTGTTGAAATGGGCAAGTTTCGATACACTGAAGTTACATGCACTAAAGCTGGATGGCTTTTTATTTTCCAGAATTTTCCAGACAGTTGTAAAATGAAACCATTATTTTATATGCAGCGTCATAGTATCGTAGTCTCTGAGCTGCTGCAAACGCTGTAAATTTTCTGAACATATTCTGCAAATGCACATTACAAAGTGAAGCTCCATGCAGTAGTACAGCCAGAAAAAATTGTGGAGAAGGAGGAGGTATGTATCTATACTTTATGGGTGTTTGTGCATGCATTTCTATGTGAGGACGTATATATAAACATGCACATAATATTGAAAATTTTCAAAAAGGAGAGCGGGTTCGACCCCCACCCTCCCCTTGGCTACACTAGTGGCGCCACGGTGAAGCTTATGCGACTAAATGTCTAACGCAACAAGTATTTGCATATTCGGGCTACTCTGATCCATACATAGCAAGCGTGTGGCTTAACCATACCCAACATTGAGTGTGTAACTGGTAAAATGCATCCACAATATGCCTGGCGAAAATTGCCACGTGCACTATTTTTACTCATCACACTTATACGTCCTTCAACTTGCAGACTTGTTGAAAGATTGCCCTTAGGCCATCCTCATACAATGCACGTCTTGATGCCAGCGCTTTCTAAACTCCAGCAGTTCATTCTCCAAGGGACCAATTGCTATACATGGGAAAAAAATGCTATTCAGACGAAAACACAATGAAATGTCAATAAAAGTAACATGTACTCGAGACATAAAATTAAGCATGCAAGGCTAGTAAGACGAAATAAACATTTTCAAAATAGTTATGGAAATGCCTATGATTCATAATGAACTTATGGTAGTTGATGTAACCACGACAACATATATGTGGAACAAAGCATTGCCTAAGGTCACCCAAGTGCATTGTAACAGAAAAACACTCGCACTGCAAAAATTTGTTCAGTCAAATATTCACGGTTTACAATTTTGTTCATGCTTGATTTGCATCTTGTTCAATTTGTAAATGATATATTTAAATTTATTGTCACATGTTTGATAGCACAAAAACCTGAATAGAAAAGGCAAGAGACAGGACAGAGAATGAACATAGTTCATGCCCAGTGGCCCACTCTGTAATAGGTCTTTCCTATTATATACTAAAATATGTAGAGCAAGCGTATCAGCACAAATCAGCCCAACTCTCTTAGTCGACAGCTGCACTGAATTTATGATAGAGGATGAATTGAGTTAGGCTAAGAACTAACTCGCATTGTGTGCAACCCTTCTGAATTGCAGCATTCACTGCAAAACTATGTAGTCTGGGCCTACTTTGCGATTTACTGCATTGAGGCGAAGCAGGGTGGTACTATTCACTTTCTATCCGATCCTCACTGATATTGAGGTAGGCCTTTGTGTGCTACTATGGAGCCCACACAAGCAGAACACATCACTTGTACAGTTTAACGTCCTACGAGCACAGCTCGGCATATTCACTCACAAGTGCCACGAATCGTACTCAATCAACACTCACTTCACAGCCCGCAAATAGAGCATTTGTGAGTGATGAGGTATGTGAGTGAATGAAAGTTCAAACACTAGAAAACTAGCAAGTATCAATACTCGTGCAAGTAAGTGATGGTGATGCGGCGTAGGCGTTAGCACATACACAAGGCGACTGCTGGCAAGTGAGTGAATGAGAACACATGAGGGACTGGGTGACTCAGTAAAATTACTGGAGATTTTCTATAAGGATGAGAGGGTGCAGCTAGGTATGAAGGGAAGTGCCTTTGAGTAATAAGAGAGAGTGTTTGCACGACTGTGTGTGAGTAAAAATGCGAGCCAGTGCCAACCCGTGAGAGACGCCATGCTCAGAGACCACAGGTCGGTTTCAACATCCAGGCCTACTCGTATGCGCATACTAGCATCAAAATCCACTCACCAAAGGCGAGAACCGAGTACACGCCTTCACGCTCCACAAAAAAAGCATCTACTGGATTATTATGATATTTGTAAAGATGTACTGATATATAGGGTCTATGCGATGCACATGTTCTTTTAAGACTTTATATTTAGGTGGTGTTTGCTTACCGGAGGATTCAGAGGCCACTTGTCTACTTGTTTCTTACTTTTATTCCCTGTAGTCTATTGAGAAAAGTCTTTGAGAACTATGCTCACTGGCAGATAGAAAAGACAGACGTTCGGACGTCTCCTTTACAAGGAAAGTATAGGAATTTTAATTTTGTTGCAGGTTTGCAAAATAATGGTACAGATGGTACAGGCCTGTAGCCAGGTATTTCTTTGGGAGTGGCACCTCTTGAAGGCTCTGAAATACACCTCTATTTTTATTAATACTCTCAGTAAAGCACACCTCCATCCAAATTTTGGGAGGGGGAGGGGGGTCTGGCTACGGGCCTTAGCTAAGCACCCCCTCGTGCTATCACTTTCTCGTCTCGCTCAAACTCACTCGTATTTGCTTTCACGTGGTATCAATCACCATCACTCACTGCCGCGTTCAAACATTACCATTCAAGATTCGCCTAAAAGGCCATAAATGTCAGTCCATTTGTTCAGCTAGCACAACAGCTCATAAGTTTTTCGAGCCAGGACCACTTGAGTGGTTCATCAGATACCCTTCGCTTGATGCCACAGTCTCTATGGCAAACTACATAAGTTCATCAGACATTCAAATTCCAGAGGTGCCTAACAGCCAATACAAGTAAGTTCACTTGCGCAGCTAGTATGACGGCCTCTGGCATTTCTAGCCAGAGCCTGATGAACCAGAGTTGTTCATCAGGGACGCTTCCCTTGCTACTGCATGTGCCGCAGCCTCAGCCGCGGACCACATGTGCGTCACCTCGTGCCTCTTCATCTGCATTTTGCGGGCAAACACCATCGGGCAAAAGCGACACTGAAACGGCTTCTCGCCCGTATGGGTTCGCACATGGCCCACAAGGCTCGTCTTCTGCGTGAAGGCCATGGAGCAGAGGTGGCACCGAAAGGGCTTCTCGCCGGTGTGGATCCGTAGGTGGGCAACTAGGTTTCCTTTCTGCATGAACGCCTTGCCGCAGTAGTCGCATTTGTGCGGGCGCTCGCCCGTGTGTATGCGCTGGTGATTCTGCATGCTGGTGTGGAACGCCGTGGTGTAGCCGCACACGAGGCACCGCCGCAGACGCCTTCCAAACTGGGAGTCCAGAAGAGGTGGCCGGCCGGGGCGGCGACGCACGGCCACAAAGTCTGCGCAAGTCAAGTTTGCCGCATTCTCAGCAAAGGACACAGGCACGTCGTAGGCAAAGATGGAGAGGTTAGTGAACTTCGAAATGGCATTTAGTCGAGCTCGTTAGCGTAGCACAAAAGTCTACTAGGCTAGTTGGTCTAGTGGCATTAACTACATTTAGTGCCAAAGATTAACGCACTAAAAAACACGAAAGACAAGGACGAGTGCCAGTCCTCTCCTGTCATGCTTCTTGTGTGTAAATTTTTCACTTAACTTGGTTATCACGAAGGTATGGCTCATACTTTAGTAAACAGAACTCGTTAATGAACCCACAACGCAGGCACTGAGTCTCTATTGTGTGCCCCTTATCTGTGCTGCTTACAGAAATATTAGGAGGTTAGGCTAATGTTGGGCGCGGCTTGCTAAGTGGCAGTAAGATCAAGTCACAACACTGAAATACGGGCAAACTGATTCTGAAATGAACTTGCACATAAATAAAAAAAAGCATGGCATTAATCTGTAACGCAGGCGTTGTGTGAAAGAATGCAGCAACGCACTAAAGACCTTCAGTGTTGAAATAGTTTGTACAAAGCAATTATTTTTTTTTCAGGGGAAGCAATCCTAAAGTGTTGATGAGTTACATCTCTTCTTTACGTAAGTAGCGAGGGATGTCACAAAGTTTCTGCAGTTTTATTTTGCAGATAATCATCATCAGATTCAGTTATGCTGTTAACTCATCTGTAAACCTAAATCTGTTTGTTTTACAACGGCTATGCATGGGTGACAAGACAATTGCCCGCTATAGACACCGAGCAGTCGGCTGTGAAAGGCGCATTCTAATCAACATCTGAAGAAAGACATTCACAACAGCTGCTTCTGGCTTGAAGCTCATTTTCCAACACTTGTCACAAAGGCCCCTTTGTCAAAGTAAATACCCTGGCAGTGCATTTCTGGTTTTAAAGCACTAAGATTGATAGGCAGTTTTGAATAAAAATTTCTGTTTTCGTATGGGATATAACTGTCCAGCATTGCACCACAATACCAATCTTGATGATCACTGGCAGCGACATTAGCTATGTAAAATAGAGCATTGGTGCATGGCAAGTTTCCACCTTTCCGACTGTATGTACATGCTTTTTCTTTACTGAATAGTTAAGAGCTCGTGCTTACTTGCTCCATGCCCACCTTGTCTGCTGGTGTGCAACATAGCAAAACATGAAATTGAGGATGCCAAGTTTTAATGCAGTATCGTCAGCAATGCTTTGTCACAGGGACAGATAAAAGAAATGTTCAACTGCAACAGTATTATAACTCCTGGTGTGCTTTTATTACAATCTCGAGTCACTGTGAGAAGACGTTATCAAATGACATACAACATTAAACTGCCATTATGCTTTCATATTTTGCAAAACATTGTGTGCATAGCTTGAACACTACTTCTAAAGCTGGAAATGAACAGATGAGATCAAAAAGTGTTTTTCACGGATAAGGGCACTTGCGCAGTGAATATTCTCGTCAACAATCATCACCAGCAAATGTCAAAGTGTCGGAAGCCTTTCAAGAACCTGCGGTTAGTTTTGGGTGCATAGAATGCTCGTGAATCCTTAGCCGCTGCTTGCGCACGAAAGCTGCCGGGCAATAGCGGCACCGAAACGGCCTCTCTCCCGTGTGCGAGTGCACGTGATCTACGAGGTGCACTTTCTGCTTGAAGTCCTTGGGGCACAGGTGGCACTTGAACGGTCTCTCGCCGGTGTGAGTGCGGAGGTGAGCAGTCAGGTTCGTACTGACCGTAAAAGACTTGCTGCAATAGCTACAAACATACTGGCGGCATGTGCAAACGTTTCTAGAGCGGCGCACTCTATTCCGATTGGATTCAGTGAGCAAGGTACTCCGTCTCGCCTGTCTGACGAATGCGTTGTCTATTGGTTGATAACAAGGTCGTCGTCTGGTGGTGCCTGCAAGAGAAACCAAAATTAGAGCAGGAACTATGATGTGTGTAAAGTTTTTTCAAGCTAACTAGTGCTAGTCATAAGAGTTTCATGATACTAGTACACAAGATAGAAGTCTGGCGCTGGTCTATGGGGGGTGCAAAATAATGCTTCAGCCGGCATGGGGATGATGGGTGGCACATGCATTTGCCTGAGCTTTCTTCTTTCGGCTTCGTGTGGCTCAATGTAGCCAGCAGTCGCTTTTTCACAAGATGAAAAATCGGCGAAAATTGAGCAAGCCCACTTGACCGTCCTTTTAGCCTAACCAATTCAAACCGGCTCACGAGCTTCACAGAGAGTGCTTCTTTTGTCCAAAACAGAAGCCAAACCGCAGCAATGAACAGAGCCACAAGTGCATTAGAAGCTGCAAGCATGAAGACAGCACAACTATTTATGTTACCCACCATTCCCACAGTATCCAATCACAGTGCCACAGTTTCCTTAATGGTACAAAACTCTCTGGTGCTAGTATCAATGAATGCATAAACAATTTAGTAAGAACAAGAACTATGCATAATGCTAGCAAATACAATGCATCAATTCGTGGTTCTCACAGCACTCACTTGCTTTGGGATAATTTTACAGATTAGACATAAAGAAGCATGCAAAATTAATGTGGCGTTTTCCAGCTTAATGCAGGCTGTCGTTGTATATTCTATAAATCTACACAGCACACAAGCAATCGCTGCAGTACGTGTTCTCAAAAACATTGCAACTGACAGCAACCTCAACAAGCAAGAAGATGCTTAAACGTAAAAAAAAAAGAGTGCACCAAATCAGTGGTTTATATTCCTCAATCGATGTCCCGGCTCGGAGATGGAAAATAAAACCATGTAGATGATCTTCATTAGCAAACTACCAACAGTTGGAACTTGGCATCACTTGTAATTAAGTATCCAATGGGTGAATTCTTCCTAAAATTATGGAAACAAGGACAAGATTGCACAACAAGTTAAAGAGACCCCGAAACACTTTTTCAAGTAACCATGAAATGAATTCACTGAAAGAGCTTACTGCCTCACGAATTCAACGGCACAAAATTTTAAGACTCCGCCTAGTACGAGCGAAGTTACAGAAATTTGCCACACGCTGCAATCGCATTCTCTCTTCTCTCGTCCCGACGAAAGTGCAGGAAGCTAAGCAGGGAGAGATGGCAGGGCCGTAAAGAAATGTCGCGTGGGCCCTGTGACCTTGAGCACTTTTTTCTTCGAATACGCAGCTTTTTCAGTATGATCGTGTGCGCACGCAGGGACAAGTAGCGCTGTGGCGTTCTCTGTAATGAGTGAGCGTGCCATGTTCATATCAGCCAATGGCTGATAGATGGGCTTGCTACGTGTGATTTTTGGGTATATTACGTAATTTGTCGAGAGAAGAAAAAGCAGTTTTTAGCTTACTTTAATTCATTGTGAATTCCAGGCCGCGTGCTGCGCTATAATATTTAACTCGCGTGTTGTTGGGAGCCTCTACTACCGATCGGCAGCGTTTTCTGACCATGTTCAAAAAGTGTCGCAGGGCCCCTTTAATGACCAGTTCTGTTCGCATATGATGCTGTAACCACTTCAGATGCTTTGGAAAATTAATAACTTGCTGTGCAACACAGAAAATGAAGTTTGAATACACAGAGGCGATACAGATGTCCTCCAAGTCTGTCTCACGACAGAACACTATGTTGCATTTTGTGGTTTCTCATCTCGCATTCTTATCACTATGTACTGATCATAAGTTTTATCCATCAAGAAAATGGGATGAAGGCATCCTGCACGCAGGCGATACATTACTACAATGCATTTTTTACTCCGACAGAGTTCTGTAGCCTTCAGTATTGTATGGGCAGTAAAAGAAGCAGTGGGTCTATGGCGGTGGACTGATATGCTGTTTAAAGGGATACTGAACAAACTTTGTACCGCCATGATTTCCAGCCAAATTCAAAGATTAGGCACTGAAATCGAAGGATGAAACCGTGCAGAAACTAGAAAAAAAATGCGCTTTTTTTTAACTGTCATGTCGTCAACTAGAGGAGGTGATGTTAGTTGACGTCACACGCGTAGGTCGATGAACGCACTCGTGAGTCGACCCATTCAGACTCAGATCAAGCTGCGAATCTCAGTCTGAGAGAGTCCAGGTGAGTACTATTTTGGCAAGTTTGAACGAGTTTAGTTTAAGAAAAATTTCGCGAGTGTAAGTTTGAGTGAGACCGGCTCGGGAAAATTTTGGCGAGTACGAAGCACAAGATATGTCTTGAGTGATTCTGAGAGAGTTTCACTTTTTTTTGCCGACCAGTGGTCACACCACACTACAGACAGGCAGCCAACAATGCCCGTGTCTCTCAACCTGCTCAGCTTGCACTACAGTTCCCAGAAAGACTACGAACAGCACCGCCAGCGAACAATGCTTACTGCTGGTGTAAAGCTCTAGCACTTTGGTGGCAGGGGGAGAGTGGGACGAAAGGAGGGGTGGAGAAGCAAATGGAAGAAGAGGAGAGGAACATGTGCAAACTGCATGCACCTTGGAAAGCGTGACCTCACAGCTCGCACGCAGCCAACGTGTGCAGACAATCCACCAAAAATACAGCTAAATGTTCAGAAATATGTAAAGTAAACTCTGTTTATGGGAGCAGTGGCGTCTTCCAAGTAGAATTTCGATATCTTCTTCAGTTCTTTTTTCAATTTTTGTTTAGTATCTCTTTAACAATCTAGACTTGAAACAAGGTGTGGGAGCAGGCTAGTTGGTATTCCATACCGTAAACCGCTGAAGTGCAAAAAAAAAATGGGGGTAACGATGGACAAAGAAAACAGTGAGGACAAGCACTTGTTGTCGTTCTCTTAGTCCGTTGTTACTCTTTTTTTTGCACTTCAGCGGTTTAAGACATGGTTCCAGACTTGAAAGCTTTTTCTTCTAGTCCCTATGAGTTGGAACACGAATTATGCAGCTAAGAGCAGATCTGTAGTGGGCTGTCATATGGCAAGTCTTGCAAGTTTTTCATGCCAATTGCAAGGATACTCAACAAAATGGTTTCGTCAGGACAATGCCCAAGGTTTACAAGTAGGAAGGTCACTTTGGTAAATATATGCCAATATCGAATGACGTTATTTCTATAATCGCTGGCATTGCTACTTTTATGCTTTCTTCTGCTTGCCGACAAGGTTGTTAAGGCACCTGCAAGGAATGAAGAGAGCAAACGAGAGACTTCAGTTGAATAAAACCGCAACTATGCATGCAACAATGGCTTTTATAATGCACTTCATGCATCAACATCTGAATTAATTATCAGAGCATGTAGCTCTACGTCGTGGTAGCTGAAGGGCTACGGTACTCCACAGTTCAGCATTTAGCTGAAGTTGAATATCAAGTGTCACACTACATCTGAAAGCGAATAAGTATGTTTGAACAATTTAGCATAGATACACATCAATCCCTTGGTTTTTCAATGTTATGTGTTGAACAAATTAAACCAAAAAGAAACTGCCTCAAACTTGAAATTAGTCAAATTTTTACATATGTCTCAACTTAAAAATACCGTGAATGCGTCTTTTTATGCCTCTGAATACTACGTAAAAGTTGTTCTCGTGAAATCTGTTATTAATACACAAGCAAGAGTTTTGAATATTAGTAGTCTGGAAAATGTGACAAGAAAATAAATATAAGAAACAAATGATCAGTGATTCCTTCGGCAAACTGCACCAGCCGCGATAATTTGGGTGTGGCCTGCAGGCAGAGCACTACAATATGCAACTTGTAGCGTGTCCATGATCGATGTTCATACTGGTAGTCTTATCACAGAAAGCAGTAACATGGGAGCAACAGAGGCCGTCACGTGGATCTTCTACAAAATGCGCGCAGCTAGTCCCACCTGCTATTCATAAAGCGGCACAGGTTCTCGAATGGACATTGGGTTCGGGTTGCGCAAGTTCCCGGAAAGCGGTTTGTTGACGCTAACCGGGCATCATGCAATGGGTAGTCCGTGTGTAGACCGCGTCCAATTTTCGGGATAAGATGAAACCAAGTGCAAGTTTGTGAAATGCAGAACTCTCATAGAAGGCAAATTTTTACGCAGCGCACGTAAGTGCAACGCACATGCAAGCGAAAAAACGGGAAATAATTCGTGTAATAAACGCTCTATCAGACCATGACACACGACTACTTCAAAACTTCGATCAGCCATCGATCAAACTCAGTCAACATTTCTTTCATTGTTCAGTGAAGTCCTCGGAAACTTCTTTGCTCCTTGACGGAAGTTTGAACAAGCTTCGCCGCCTTTAGTAGTGGCGACGATCGAATGCATATCCCGTGTTGTGTTACTTGTGCAGTTGAGAAGCCGTCGTGGAGTCGTCGCTCCTTCGGTCGTTTCCCGTGACATTGGGACGCACAAATAAGAGCTAAATGCTGCATAGGCTGCGCCCAGAGTTGTCGGTCCGTGCCGTCAACACTCCGACGTAACGTTAACGGCAAAGGTTGCATGATGCTGCCGAAAACAATCAACACATAACATTTGACAATGCAAAATAAATGACAGCTCGGCCATGTTTGCCGCTAATCACGATGGCGATGGAGCTTTCTCAGGCCAACGCCTCCT